AACACACACACACACACACACACACACACACACACACACACACACACACACACACACACACACACACACACACGTTTCTGGTGGGGTTTTTGTATGTCTACAGGTAATGAAGTTACCTTTCGTAGCTGCAGCTGTTGTGAAATGTAAATACAAAGTAAACCAGCCTGGTGTTTCTTTCTAAGCTGCTGCTTGGAAGTGGTTTTCAGGAGTTATACTGGAAGATATCTATCACAGGAAGTCTGTAATGGATATTTTTAATAAAAGGCTGAAAAGGTTAGAGTGGTTTGAAGACACAAGCGCTGTGCTGTTCAGAAACTGCCTCTGTGCCATTGCTGCTTTCTTTACGTGCACGTTTTCATCATAGCAGAAGTCGTGTTCAGTAGCAAAGCAAGCAGGAGCAACTCAAACAATTACAAATACAAAATGAAAACAATTCAGCAACTCCCAAAATCAAATGTCCAAAATCTGAATGTTAGCTGGCAGTGACATTTGAAAGTTGAAAATCAAATAACGTACTGAATGCTGTAGATATTAAAAATAAACTTTGTGGAAATTATCCACATTTCATAATCTGCTTGTAAAATCAACGATCCATTAGTAAGTTAGTAATTATATTCCCATGAATGTATTGAACAGTCATACCCACACAAAGGCAGGTCGATGGACTTATAAAACACACACACACACACTTTGACAGGACCTTCTGTCACATCAGAGGAGGGGGTCGATGTTGGTCGTTATAATGGCCTCTGTGAGTAATGCTGGTCTTTAACAATATGTCTGATGACACATGTCCCAGTGAGATCTGTTCCTGCTCGGTTTGAGGGGAATAAAGAAATGACTGATGACTTTGATATTTGTGACTCATCGGTATACACAGATAAAGGCTTTCAAATGGAATATCAGACAGAAATAAACAGTGAAATCACAGGTTAATGTATTGCTACAAATAGATATGGCTTATTTTTGTATGCACTCGGGAAGGTGGGTGAGTACTGTGCCGTCCCTCAAGAGATGATGGATCTGAAACAAAAAAAGACTAGAGGGAGGTCGCGTTAACCGAATATATTCCATCTATGACGGAATTCTTTTGACAATGACGGAAAAATCTGAAAGCAGTCCGTCATTTTGACGGATTAGAACAAACTCAGAACAGCGCCAAAGTTTCCCTGCAGCAGGGCTCCGGTGTTATGCCCTTATGTCGTTTCCAGACCTAACTATGCCGTACAAATCATTGAAATGTCTGGGAGTTTTTATGCTTTATGCTGTGGCGCGCTCCCGCGAGATGCAGTGGGCATGCATAACACGGCATAACACCGACGCTAATATTTCTCGAGCCCCCCAGTCAGTTGTGTACAGACCGACGGGTAATAATGGATTTTGACGGAAATTTTACGATCCTGTCCGTCAAAATGACGGGCAGCGAAAAAGTCTAGCGGAACCTAACCTAAACCAACTTTATGCTAACCAAAAAGCTGAGGAGAATGTTGGTCTGTTGCTCTTGACAGAAATACAGTTGAGGTCTAAATTGTTAGCCCCCCAGGAGTTATGGAACATTTTAATATTCTTCCCAATGTTTCCAGCATTGATAAAACTTGATATAATCAAACATTCACCAGTGCTAGCTTTTGGTACATTTTGGAAAATAAAATACGTTTTTAGGCTTGCTATATATCAAATATAGTGAAAAATGGGTTGGTCAAAAATATTAGCCCCCAGGCCATAAATAGCCAATAGTGTACCCTTTCTGAGCCACAACTGAAAACAACCTCTTAGAGTAGTTCTTTACTAGGTTGGCACAGGTCTCTTGAGGGACTTTGGCCCATTCTTCCATTGCAAATTGTTCCAGCTGGTCCAAATTGCGTGATTTCCGAGCATGGACATTCACACAGATTCTCAATAGGATTAAGATTCTAGGCTATGTGCGGGCCACTCCAGCACCTTGGTTTTGGTGTCCTTTAGGAACTGTTGGACCAATTTTGATGTTTCCTTTGGGTCATTGTCTTGTTGGAAGACCCAGCGACAACCGAAGCGAAGACTAAGAGCAGATTTTTTCATATTATCCCTCAAAATGTCAACATAATTAAAATTTTTCATGATGCCTTGCACCCGAACAAGGCTCCCTGTGCCTGAGTCTGCAAAACAGCCCCACAGCATGATGTGTTCTTAAGGATGAAGGCCTCTCCCTTTCTTCGCCAAACATGAGCAACATCCATGTGTCCAAACAGTTCCAGTTTAGTCTCATCAGACCAAAGCACAGACTTACAAAACTCATCTTTACCTTTCAAATGTTCACGGGCAAACCTCAGTCTGGCTCTGATGTGCCGCTCTTTGAGTAAAGGGGTCCTTCTGGGACGATGGCCCTGAAGCCCACCACGAAA